CGACACATCCACCCTCTTCTCAACTAGTTGGAGCATCTTTTCTTCATATCATTGCACTCCAAACATCCTAAATCATCACACATAACTTAATTAGTCATAAAACTAATAATTAACACATATTGGGCAAATTAACATATATTGCTCATAAGAATCTGTCGAGTTCTTACTCGCTTATTCAATTAACGCCTATATATCTATGGAGTTAGAATCAACAAGAACACTTTTATAATTCCTGTACATCAACCAAGCAAGGCAATTAGGTATACGTCTATCCTAATCGTGAATCCGTTCCCCGATGCCCAGGTTCAAGAACTTGCTCTACTCAATCCTATGTGCAATCTAGAATTCCCACTTTCGAGTTCAATTCTAGATTCGTAGATAGTATTCAATTAGTGATCAAGCAATCAAATAATTAAGAGCAGGATTGAATAAATAAACCAATATGATAAATCAAGAAACCAAAATCAATATCTGAATAAAAATAGTCATGAAAGAACCATAACCCTAGAACGTGAAGTTTAGCTCCACATAGACATGGTAGCAAAACAACAAATCATACAAAGGAGCATAAAAATTATATGTTTGGTGGAAGAAAAGATGAAACCCGGCCTCCACGGCGGCTCCTTGCTCTCCCTCGGTCGAATTCCCTTCAAAAAGTGTGTTAATGACCTACAAGGGGCGTTTTTGGCCTATATATTCCGTACAAAAGTCGTGGGCCAAAGTTTTCCTTTTCCTAATCCTACTCAGCTTCCACTTCTTCAGCTTCGCATGCTAGGCTGGATGCTTCACATCCACCCTTTGTTCCTCCATCTCTATTGTGCCCAGGTGCGGATGCTAAGGCGGATGCTATGGCTCGACTTCACTGCTAAGGGTGCACCAAGTAGCCTTCTTTCCAAGGTTGGATGCGACGCATCCACCCTCTTCTCCTCTAGTTGGAGCATCTTTTCTTCATATTTTTGCACTCCAAACATCCTAAATCATCACACATAACTTAATTAGTCATAAAACTAGTAATTAACACATATTGGGCATTTTTTTACACGAAATAGCATCAAAAAGTGGTTAAAACATGGGTGAAGTAATATTAAAACATATAGAAATATGCCCAACATCAGTACGGTTCGGTATTTTTTCGGTTCATTTTCGTAGAATAAAAAAACCTACCCTAATTTTCGGTGCAGTTATAGATTTATACAAAAACCAACAGTTTTATTAAAAGAAACCTAAATATCGGTACGGTACGGTACGGTTTGATCGATTTAATCGATTTTTAAATATCCGTTGACACTACCCCAGTACTAAGTACCAACAATGCAACAACTAAAAATTGGTGGAAGGTTTTAAGGTTTTCTCATAACGAAAGTGCAACAACTGCGCAGAAAAAGTGAAGCGTTTTAGTTTAAAGTACAGATAACTTCAAACGCTCTAAATTTATCCAAGTACAAACCCTCTATAAAAGGCACACAATTTTCCTAAATACTACAATATTATCACAGAAAATTATCAAACGACAACCCTGACCATATTGTTTCAGTGAAAGAAAACCTTTACCCCCAATACCATTGCACCACTAAATATGCTGAGTTATTACCATTTTAAATGCAGTAGAATATATGGAATTTCTCCATCCTTAATAAGAGGTTTCACTTTTAAAATAGAGGTTTCACTTTTAAACTAAGGGAGTGAAGAAATCGTTAATAGAGAGCATATCCTATTTGATGGGCGGGACGCAGGGTGAATCTAAATTAGTCAAGTCAGTGAGTACTAGATACAAATCATTAAATCAAACGAAACGTATGCTGAATAATTTAGCATATATTTTAAAAGGCTAAAACATGTGTTACTGCCCCTAATATTTGATTTGCTCTTTTGTAATGTAAGCACGCTGATAGAAACCTCTTGGTAGCACTTTCTTTTATGTAATGATACATATTACTAGCTATAAAATTTCCTCTTTCAACTGAAAAAACAAAAAGTAAATTTGCTGGTTGGACTCGAAAGATTTCGTAATTCTAGGTCGTTGTGTTCTGCTTTGCTTATCATCTCTAAGAGATTGGTCTAATGTTCTTATTCATTTGATCTTTCAACTGAATCTATAATCAAATAATGTCCGCCAATTCACTGCCTTCCCAATATATCTGAACTATTTAATTAATGTTGATTATGTGGTCCAAATCGACAAGTTGTTTCGTGTTGTTTTATTTTTATTTTTTAATTTTTTTATGTTTATAAGGATATTTTGTGGGGCAATTTCACTTTGTTTTGGCCCATGCCATGTTAGGTTTGTGGTATCCTTCTTCAGCGTGACATATATTAGCATATAAAGAAGAGCAACTCCACTCCCTATCCACCTTATCTTTGACGAATCCAACAGAAAAAACAAAAACCCAAAAAAGGAAAAACCATTTGTAGTATTAAATTAAGATAAATAGAAAAAAGTTAACTTGTTCTACACAATTAACAAGAGATCTCACTTTTAATTCCTCAATCATCTTAAATTCTGCTTTTACTAGCCTTCTCCATGACGAACTGACAGAATAATATGTTGGGAACTGCTCTTTAGTCAATAGTCTCAATCTCCTCTAAAGTAACTTACGAGGAAAAAAACATTTATTTTAGGACTAGAATGTTTAAAAAGTGAGCAAGGTAACTATCGATCCCAAAATAACAAGAAGCTTCGTCTTTTTTGCTTTTAACTATTTTTCGTTTTGAGTAATGTGATGACTGACGAGCACAAAACACATTATAAAAATCAACTCATATTGCGTCAAAGATAGTATAAAAAGTTTCGTCTCCACAGGATTGAATTAAATAATGTTCTAGTAATTCTTGGCTTCACAGAAAACTTGTAAAAAAAATTGTAAAATACTGTTCTAAAATTGTTCTAAAATTGTAAAATTAAGATTAATCACAGAAAACTTGAGTTTGTTTACCCTGGAATCCGGATAACAATTGAATTTATATGGGGTTTTAAGGATCCGTGAACTAAAAGATACAAAAGGTTTGGATTGAGGAAAATAAAAGATAAAGACTCAACAATTGCTGCTAAAGTAAATAATCGCAGAATATAATATTGCTTAGAACAATTGTGTTTGATAGCGTACAAGAATTGAGAGAGATGGTACCGTAGTGTAATGGTTTCCGATCCCCTCTTTATGGGGTCTTCTCCCCTTTTATACATTCTGATTAAGGGTAAAAATAAGGTAGGTAAATTAATTACATCGTGGATCCCTGTAATTACGCCTTAATGGCCTGAAGTGGTTGAGAAAATCACGTTTGGGCGAGATATCCGGCGACGCTTGGTTATCCGTTACGAGTCCGGCTTCCGACCTTGTGTGTTTCTCCATCCGATGGTGACTCATATCGAGCTCTGCAACGGTCTCGAAATGACTCGACCTCGGTTGCTGACGTGGCCGTCATTCTACCTTGCATCCAGGTCGGGTTCGATGGCCCCGACTTGCCCCGGACCGGACCCAACCCGGTCGGGCTCAAGCAAAAAGGGTATCACCCAATACAGATAGTCCCCTCGTTTATTAGAGAGTAATGATAATAAACGATATGATCGGTGACGTGATGCCCGTGACGTATGGCCATACGCCAGCTGAAAAAGCCATCGAGTGCTCTGACCACGTCTGCTGCAGGCATTTAATGCTTCTCTTAATTATCTGTCGCTTCGTGTCTGTAACTTCGCGATTCGTGCCGTCGCCTCATGGGAAAAGTATAAACGACCCTTCCAGGTTCAACATTTCTTATCTTTCTCAAATTTTGCGTTGGTTGTATTTTCTTTTCATCTCTTCGTAAAGCTTCAAGAAATGGCGAAAACTTCACAAAGTGTTCCTTCTAGACCAAGCTCGTCTGCGAGCCCCGCTAGATCTGATGAACCTGCGCCAGAACCCCCATTGAAAGCTTTTACACCGACTGGTTGCTTGGTATCTGCCGACTTCCAGGTTGAGAACCCATCATCGATCCCGGGCCGCGGCGAACCGGCATCGGAGTATATCAGCCTAATCACTCCCGGTTGCCTAGACCGGGTGAGGGCTGAATGTAGATGGGAAGGGAAAGACCTGGTCGCCCCTTCCCGTGACGAGTCGATTATGACTCACGTTGAAGGGTATCTTAGTGTATATACATATCCCTTCACCTTAGGCCCCTTAGAACCCATTATAGTGGAGTTCTGCCGGCGGTACGAGGTGACCTTAGGTCAGGTCCACCCCTCGATGTGGCGGATCGTATATCTCTTTCAGTTTTTTGTCGAGAGAGTCGAGGGCGATTTTCCCTTTACCCTCGACCATCTTCTTCGATTATACAGCCCTCGAATATTTCGAGGGGGATTAATAAAACTGGCCCGCCGGGCTAGCAAACCCCCATTCTCCAGCATCGATGAAGACAAAGATCGAGGCTGGATGAGCAGGTTTGTCCGGATCAGGACGTCCGACCTGATTCCGGCTGATTGCATGCCATTTCCGGAGAGGTGGAACCTCAAACGTAAGTATTTTCTCACTGTTCATCTTTTAGAGTGTGTTTTCCTCAACTTCTTCCTGAAACCCCCTTTTCTTGTGCAGCGGTGACCCAAACTCCAGCTGCCATCAAGGATCTGGCCGGCTGGGTAAACAAGATAGTGGCCCAGCGGCCATATTCGGAGCGAAACTGGAAGGAAATCTCCAAAGGTCGGTGGGAGGCGAAAAACCATGGTAAGCCTTCTTTTTGACCGGTAGCGCACCAAGTTAACGCATTTTTTCTCGTATATCGGGAATGCATCATAACCCTCGTGTTTTGCAGGCTTGCCCAAGGACGCGGAGATGAGGTCTTCAATACTATGCCCCCTTCCGGTTCCGGGAGAAAATAAAAGGCCCGGGGAGTCCGGTACGGACGAGCCCCAAAGGAAGATTAAGCGGACAAAAAGGCCGCCCGCAAACTAAAAAGCCAAATCGTCTTGTCCTCCGAGGAGGAGGACGACAAAGAGGATGACGATGAGGAGCAGCCGGAGCTCGTCTGCCATCGATCCATTCGACCGGACCCCGAGCCGGTGGTCGATCCAGCTGAGGCTCCTCCCGAGGACGTGAGGGTTGAGGATGCTAGTGAACCCTCGGCCCCTGCGCGGGCGTCCCCGGGTACCGATCACCCGGTTACGTCCCCCCCGTCTTCCTCGACTTGGGGGCAGCTGCCGGACGACATCCCGATGATGGGAGGTAGCTTCGAGACCTTTTTTGATGGGGTACCCTCCGCCAACACTTTCGGGCTCGAAACCCCCCGGAAAGACCCTCAGGCCGAATCAAGTGGGACTTCGGCCGTCAACAAGCTTGTCGATAGGTTTCCAGCTCCGAGCCTGGACCCGGACTGTAACAGGATAGTAACTTTTGCTATCCCCAAAGACGTCCGGGCTCTGGGGCCCCCGGTCGGGGTTGCAAGCTATCTTCATCACCTGATGACGGAGGAAGACCGGGCTGCAACCGAGGCTGTAGATTGGACATGCCTTTTCAACGAAGCCCAACAGGCGCAGCTCAAGGTACTTGCTTCTTCCTTTATTTCTAATATTTTTGCCTTGTGATTCAGTACTGACTCTTTAGACTTTTTCTTTGCAGGCATCGGTGCTATATCACTCGATGTTCCTCCGGATCAAGGACAAAATGGAGACGGAGCGAGAGGGGCTCCGGGTCCTTGAAGAAAAGCTGCTAGAAAGCCGGACTGGATTGGACCTTTTGAACAAAGAGCACGCGTCCTGTGCTATCCGGCTGGAGGAAGCGAAGAAAGAGCTTGGTTATAAGCTAAGGGGGGTGCAAGCCGAGCTTAATCGGGTTAAGGCCGAGCTTGACGAGAGCAGAGCCGAACTTGATGAGAACAAAGCCGAATTGGAAGCCCGGGTGCAACAGTTGGAGTCGGAGAAGACTTCCCTTCGGAAAGAGGTTGCGGACTTGACGTTGGCCAATGAGGCTCGAGTCCTTGAAATTGAGCTATGGACCAATCGATTTCAGGAAGCTGAGGCTAAAGTTTCCCAAGCCGAGAAGACTGCCAACGATCTGGTGGCCCAATATAGGGCCGATGCTGATGCGGCCAACCAGCAGTCAAGAATGTTAGCCGAATATGCGAAGTGTCAGGCCCGGCTTGAAGTTCTTACCGAACTCCAACGTCGCGGTTTCGATCTTGCATCGGACGTCACCAAAGCCGCCGAAGCTGAGGACGCTTCGAGAAGGGCGACGTTCCCCGAAGAATTCGAGGATGGCTCTGATTGACTCCGGGAATAGGCTATGCTTTGTTTTGTTTTCCCCTCTTATGTAATTGCTCCGGTAGCGAGCTTTTTTATGAAACATTGCCCTTTGCCATCTATTGCTCCTTTTTCAATCTTGTTATTACTTTGCCTTTTATCTTTTTGGAACGATGGTAGTCCTTTATGTTTTTCGAAGTAGTCTCCGAGTGAATGTATTCGAACTCAGGTGAACTTCGACCTTTGGGTTTTCTCAAGGCAGTCCCCGAGTGAGTTGATTCGAGCTCGGGTAAAAAATCAAACCTTACGTTTTTCAATATAGTCCTCGAACGAGTTTATTCGAGCCCGGGTAAAGTCTAACCCTTAGGTTTTTTCGAAGCAGTCCCCGAGTGAGTTTGGTCGAGCTCGGGTGTAGTTCAAACCTTAGTCCCCGAGTGAGTGTATTCGAACTCGGGCAAAATTCAAACCTTAGATTTTCACAAGACAGTCCCCGAGTGAGTGGAATCGATCTCGGGCAGAAAATCCAAACCTCAGGGTTTTACAAGACAGTCCCCGAGTGAGTGCATTTGAACTCGGGGAAGATTCAACCCTTAGGTTTTTACAAGATAGTCCCCGAGTGAGTGGATTCGAACTCGGGCACAATTTGACCTTTAGGTTTTGCATCGATTTTACGCCTTTTTCTTAAGGTCTTACAAATTCGAGTATACTTCGCCATTAGTGAAGTCGATGATGAGGCCGGTATTACCTCTTTTGAGATTTTATGAATTTGGACCCGCCTTCTCGAGGACTTATGGTTGAAATAATGCCTTATCGAGGCCTTACGAATTTCGAACTCACCTCTGAGGTTTTACAGTTTTATGTGTCGCCTTATTAAGGTCTTATGAGCTTGGACTTGCCTTCTTGAGGTCTTATAGTTTAAGTGTTGCCTCATTGAGGTCTTGTGAGTCCGAGTATGCCTCAATGAGGTCTTATGTGCCTAAAGGAGGTCTTATGTGATCGAATATGCCTCGAGGAGGACTTATGAGATCGAATATGCCTCGAGGAGGTCTTATGTTCGAATGTGCCTCGAGGAGGTCTTATGAGATCAAATATGCCTCGAGGAGGACTTATGAGATCGAATATGCCTCGAGGAGGTCTTATGAGATCGAATATGCCTCGAGGAGGTCTTATGTTCGAATGTGAGATCGAATATGCCTCGAGGAGGACTTATGAGATCGAATATGCCTCGAGGAGGTCTTATGAGATCGAATATGCCTCGAGGAGGTCTTATGAGATCGAATACGAGATCGAATATGCCTCGAGGAGGTCTTATGAGATCGAATATGAGATCGAATATGCCTCGAGGAGGTCTTATGAGATCGAATATGAGATCGAATATGCCTCGAGGAGGTCTTATGTTCGAATGTGCCTCGAGGAGGTCTTATGAGATCGAATATGCCTCGAAGAGGACTTATGAGATCGAATATGCCTCGAGGAGGTCTTATGAGATCGAATATGAGATCGAATATGCCTCGAGGAGGTCTTATGTTCGAATGTGCCTCGAGGAGGTCTTATGAGATCGAATATGCCTCGAGGAGGACTTATGAGATCGAATATGCCTCGAGGAGGTCTTATGAGATCGAATATGAGATCGAATATGCCTCGAGGAGGTCTTATGTTCGAATGTGCCTCGAGGAGGTCTTATGAGATCGAATATGCCTCGAGGAGGACTTATGAGATCGAATATCGAATATGCCTCGAGGAGGTCTTATGAGATCGAATATGCCTCGAGGAGGTCTTATGAGATCGGACTTGAAAGCATACCGAAGAGTCAAACAAAATCTTTAGGTTATGATGTGAATATGCATCAGATAGTCTTTGCTATTGCAGTAATAGTCAATACATCATACTGATCCGGGCGGATTAGGTCAGGCTAGTTGGGCACGGCTCGCTTTGGCCGTTTGACCCTTACATTTATTCTTATTGACCTTCGCCTTCTTCGGAGGGTGATCTAGTATACAATGATTTACCCTTAGATACCTTTGTAGTAGCACGATGTTCTTGCTGCCTCGTTAAAAACCTTGCCGAAAAACCCGAGTTGGGACAAAAACGGTCGAAGGAAAAAGAGTGCAGCTCGTGCTTTCAGTCTCTCCGATGTCCGAACTTGTCTTAGCGACCGATCATCGACCTGCACGGGTTAGGATCGGACAAGTCTCAAAAAATTTATGGAAGCGAAGAAGAAAGAAGACTTACCTTTAGCAGTAGTATCTCTTCAAGTGGCCTATATTCCAGTTATTGGGTAGTTCTTTCCCATCCATCGTTCCTAACTTGTACGAACCCTTTCCGGTTACCTTCAAAATGGTCTAAGGGCCTTCCCAGTTCGGTCCTAATTTCCCTTCGTTAGGGTCTCGAGTGTTGAGGGTGACCTTTCTTAGTACCAAGTCCCCTATATTGAAGTGTCGAAGACGAGCCCTTCGGTTATAATATCTCTCGATCTTTTGTTTCTGAGCTGCCATCCTAACTAGTGCGGCCTCTCTCCTTTCGTCTAAAAGATCCAAGCTGGTGAGCATTGCTTCTTGGTTGGTAACCTCGGTTGCATACCGGAATCTAGCGCTGGGTTCGCCCACCTCGACTGGGATCAAGGCCTCGGCTCCGTAAACCAAAGAGAAAGGAGTGGCACCGGTACTAGTCCTTTCGGTTGTCCGGTAGGCCCATAGGATTTCGGGCAGCATTTCTCTCCATTTTCCTTTTGCGTCTTGTAACCTTTTCTTTAGGTTCTGAACGATGGTCTTGTTGGTCGACTCAGCCTGCCCGTTTCCGGTGGGATGGTACGGGGTTGACAATACCCTCTTGATCTTGTTATCCTCGAAGAATTTTGATACCTTGCTCCCAACGAACTGTTTCCCATTGTCACATACTATTTCGGAAGGCATCCCGAACCGACACACGACGTGGTCCCAAAGGAAGTCGATTACTTCTTTCTCTCGAACCTTTTCGTAAGCCTGCGCTTCAACCCATTTGGAGAAATAGTCAGTAACCAAAAGAATAAATTGAGCCTTACCTGGAGCTCGAGGAAGCGGGCCCACTATGTCCATTCCCCATTTCATGAAAGGCCATGGGGAGATGACCGAATGCAGCAGCTCAGCAGGCTGATGGATGAATGGCGCATGCCTTTGACACCTGTCGCATCTTCGTACAAATTCCCTTGCATCCTGTTCCATGTTGACCCAGTAGTATCCAGCTCGAATTATTTTTCGGACCAACGCATCCGCGCCCGAATGGTTGCCACATGACCCTTCGTGGATTTCCCTCAATACGTACTCTGTGTCTCCGGGGCCAAGGCATATGGCGAGTGGTCCTCCGAAGGTCCTTTTATATAAGACTCCGTCCTCGGCCAAACAAAAACGGGCCGCTTTTGTTCTCAATGCCCTTGATTCTTTGGGGTCCTGTGGGAGTTTTCCTGTTTTTAGATAGTCCACATACCTGTTTCTCCAGTCCCAAGTAAGGCTAGTTGAGTTGACCTCGGCGTGCCCTTCTTCTACGACCGACCTCATTAGTTGTACCACCTTTTCGGACTCGAGCTCGTCGTCCTCGACTGTCGAGCCCAGATTGGCGAGGGCATCGGCCTCGCTGTTTTGATCTCGGGGTACGTGTTGGAGAGTCCATTCTTTGAATTTGTGCAAGGTGTTTTGGAGTTTGTCGACATACCGTTGCATCCGGCTCTCCCTGGCCTCGAACGTTTTGTTCGTCTGGTTTACCACAAGAAGAGAATCGCACTTGGCTTCGATCACTTCGGCGCCGAGGCTCCTGGCTAATTCTAAACCTGCAACCATAGCCTCATACTCGGCTTCATTGTTAGTCAACCTCCTCGTCCGTATAGACTGCCTAATGACGTCCCCGGTAGGAGGTTTTAGTATGATCCCCAATCCTGACCCCTTTACGTTCGAAGCTCCGTCCGTGACAATGTCCATACTCCGGACGGAGTC